TAATTGAGTGACCTCTGCAACTAATAATTGAATTGAGTGACCAAAGTGTAACTTAGGGTATAGTTGAGGGACCATTGCTGCGAATAACCCTAAAAAAAACTAAAAACCGAGTATAGCCGCGCGGCTATACAATTTCTTTTTAAAAAATTTAGAAAAAACCGAGTAGAGCCGCCCGGCTATACTGTTTATTTTTTTGAAAAATTAGGAAGACCGAGTATAGCCGCACGGCTATGCTGTTTCTTTAAAAAAAATTAAGAAAACAGAGCATAACCGTGCGGCTATACTATTTATTTATTGAAAAAAATAATAAACCGAGTATAGCCGTTCATTTGGTTTTTGTATTTTAAACAAAATCTGAAGCTGGGTTGTCTTCAGATTGATTATGTTAATTTTTACTTATAATTTGGTTACTTTTGTTACAGGAAAAGATGGAAATGGCCAAAGACGTTGATGGGGATGGGGAAGGAGAGGGAAAAATCCAATACTTGCCAAGAATGTGGTGCTACTTTTGAGAAACCTGCATATCTCAAGCGACAAATGCAAAGCCATTCCCTTGAGGTATTGTTTGCTACCGATTAGTTTGATAGCTTCATTACAGCTGATTGTGTCTATAACTTTCCTTACTTTTCGGGTGAAGGTCCTGTAATTTTCGCATCAATTGAAGATAATTTTTTTGCAGGATTCAACATTTATAACAACTATCCTTTGGATATCGTGAAGCATTGGATTTCACACAAAGAACTCCAAAATGCGAGAGGTTTCTGACTTTAATGGACCAGTATCAGGTGGGAGACCTCCTGTGAAGCTCCATCACGTGAACCTCAATCACGTACTGCTCGGTTTGAGGTTTGAATGCTTGATCATCTGCACTTTGAAATTATATGGTTATTCATTCGTGAATTACTTTTAGCCTATTTTTTACTTTTTGGATGAGGTTTCTGTAGTATTTGCATCAATTGAAGTTATAACTTTTGCAGGAATCGACATTTTAAAGAAGTATCTGTTGGACAATGTGGAGCATTGGATCCCACACAAAGAACTCCAAAATGCGTGAGGGTTTGACTTGAATGGACCAGTACCGGGTGGGAGACCTCCTGGGAAGCTCCATCAAGCAAGCCTCAATCATGTACCGTTCAGTTAGAATTGAAAGCTTGTTCACTTGTATCTTGAAACTATGGTTATTGGTTCCTGAATTCATTTAGCTTATTCTTTACATTGGCCATACGTTTGTTCGATGGATGATTGTCGTTCCAGCTTCAGAAGAAAGGACCACGTAAATCATCATCTTCTTCAGCACCAAGGGAAACTCCTTAAGTATCCGATTGAAAACTGTAATCGTGGGTTTGTTTTTCCCAAGGTAACATGAGGAGGCATGTGAAAGAACTCCACAATGAGGATGATCCTTCGGCTAATGTTGGAGGTCAGAAGCAGCATGCCAGGATTGTGGAAAGGTGTTCAAATTTGCTTCAAAGCTGCGGAAGCATGAGAATTCTCATGGTAGCTTTCATTTCTGAATTCGATCTTCTTTTTGTATTCTGCCTTGTGTGTGCGCGTCAGTGGTGAATAATGTTGTAAGATACAAATTTTTCAGAAAATGGGGGATGTGCTGTTGTTGAAGTTTTTGGCGGCATGCTTAATGCAAACTCTAAATATATCCTTTTATTTGTGTAGTTAAACAGGCATTCTGCTCTGAACCAGGCTGTATGAAATATTTTTCTAATGAGAAATGCCTTAAGGCCCATATTCAGTCCTGCAACCATCATATCACCGGTGAGATATGTGGGACCAAGAAGCTGAGAAGGAACATCGAACGGCATCTCCGAGCGCGAGAAGGGGGAGGTGCTACATTGGAGAGAATTAATGCAGTTATAAGGGTTGTCTTCACACATTTTCAACTGTGAGTTACTGACTTGACTTTTAATGGGTTGTATGTACACACACATAAAGAACAAACAGATTTCATTATTTTGGAAAGAAAAAAAAAAAAGTTTTTCATTCTTTGCATTGCCATTTTTATTTTTTATTGTTTCCTTTTCTGATTTTGCTTATATAGGTTTGCAGAAATCAAATCTCCATCAACATGTCAAGGCAGTACACCTTGAACATAAACCTTTTGTCTCTAGCTTTTTGGTTGTGACATGAGATTCGCAAACCAGCATGTGAGAGATAAGCATGAGAAGACTGGGCGTCATGTCTATGCATATGTGAGTATTATTCTTAGATCATTCAATACCCTCATACGTTGGATTTTGGGATGAGCATCTTTCCAGGCAATGCCACATTATGAGTTCATATGTGGGACATTATTGCTTTGAATTGCAGGGGGGTTTTGAAGAGGCTGATGAGAAATTCCAGTCAAGGCCAAGGGGTGGCCGTAAGAGGAAGTACCCCACTATAGAAATGCTCATACCAATTGGGCCAGGAGTCTGAGTACCTCTCCTGGTTGCTCTCACAAGATGCTGAACACGAGAATTGAGCCATGCCCTTGAAGTAAATGATTGGACATATCCACTACGTATGCTAACCTACTTAGAAGTTTGGGTGTCATGAATCTCAACACTAGATATGGAAATTGGGTGATGCTGTGAATCTGAACACTAAATATGTATAGCATTTCTGTATTTTTGTGAGATAAGCATTCTTCTGTTTAGTTGAATGGTATATTTATTAATACAATAACCACAACCTCTATCTGAACTCTGAAGAACAAATTTGTGCACTACTTGCCAAACCACCCATAACTTTGATGGGCTGGAAATTCTCATCACGCCATGTACTTTTTTTATGCGCCAATTCTGTTATTTACAAAGTGAAACAAAATTTCTTCCATATGACTAAGTTCTGTTTCCCATGATGCATCTAAGAAAAGAAAAATAGAGAGTCTGAGGCATTTGCTTTTGTTGGTTGATTGAGCAAAATGGTGCTTGTAATGCTGCTCCATGGGTTGTTATCTCCATCAGAATTGGAAGAGCAAGCAAACGGGTTGTCGCCGATTCCATCATAGAAAATTCCACCAAACTCATCATCATTACCAAGACCAACCTGTGGCTGGTCCTTTGTTTCTTCTCCGTCAGTACTCTCATCCTCCGAGAAGTTTGAGTTCTTCTGAACCAACTCTCTGAATATTGATGATTGAAGGACGAAGCCAAGTGCGGTGGGAGACGATGACTTGCTACCGCTGTTAAGAGGGATGCTGCTACCGATGACTTCTTGTTTTCGGGGGGGGGGAGAGGAGTTCAAGTAATCAGAGGCAAAAGGATTTGTGTGTGAGAAAGACTCCTCTGTTGGGATGTAGCTGTTGGCCATGAGTGGCATATTCTGAGGCTCTGCGACTGTCTCTGGTTCTTGAGTGGCTATTGGATCGTCTGCTCTTGGCTTTAGCCATCTTATGTAAGAACCCAAGTCAGAGTTAGTCACAGCATTGATCCCTCTGTACTCAATTGCTGCAATGTCATAGGCACGAGCTGCTTCCTCTTGGGTGCCTAAAATGAGATTAAAAAGACACATTGCTCAGTAAGTGCAAATTCTCTTCATTATAGTTTTCAACTATCTCTTTTATGACAGTATATATTGCAACTAGTTTTTGGATAATGTTATAATCAGTTATGGAGATAGGAGATCAGAGATAACTTACTGTAAGTGCCAAGGTAGAGGTACTTGTTTCCAAAAACTCTTCCTATTCTTGCTTCCCATCTACCATTATGATGGTACCTACAATGGTAGTGTGTAAAGGTAGATGTATGCTAAATTTAAACCTATTGCCAATGGAAGTTGCCGTGAGGATGTAACGTATAGCCGTGCGGCTACACTATTTTTAAAACAATTTAAAAAGCCAAGTCTAGCCGAGCGGCTATACTATTTATAAAAAAATTTAAAAAAAAGAGGACCCGCCTAGCGCTTAGGCACGCACGTGTCAAAACAGTATAGCCGCATGACTACACTATTTATTAAAAAAAATTTAAATACAGAGCAGACGCACAGAGCCTGGGTGCCCACGTGTAAAATAATATAGCCGTGCAGCTATACAGTTTTAAAACAAATTAAAAAAACTGAGTATAGCCGGTGGCTATACTATTTTTTTATACGAAAAAGAGGACTCTGAGCGATTAGGCGCCACGTGTCAAAACAAGCCTACTTTCTCAAAAAAGTTAAAAATACGGAGTATAGCCGTGCGGATGTACTATTTTTTTTTTTTAAAAAAAGGACCCTCTAGAGATTAGGTGCCATGTGTCAAAAATTAGTATAGCCGGTTGGCTATACAATTTTTTTTCGCGCGGCTTTACAATTTAATTAGGGAGGCACCGGATCTCTAGCTGGACCTCTTCCTTTGTTCTTGTTCCGAGGCCTTGCCTAAAGTTCGAATTTTTTATTTTTCACAAAATATTCAGAATTCAGAAAAACAAATACAAAATCATAAAATTCATGAACAAAATATGATGAGGAAACGGTCAAAATCAGAAATTTGGCTTACATTGCCATAAGAGTGATTGAAACGTTTTCCTCTTTCGGTTTTCTTATTGCCCCTACTGCAGTACACTGAAGAATCAGAAAGCAAAAATTAGGGCACATAAGAGAGAGAGAGAGAGAGAGAGAGAGAGGGGGGGGTTTGGAATTAAGGTGTACCTGATGGGACCGATGTAGTGGTAGCTGTGGAGACTGAAAGCGAAGCTGTGGAGGAGGGGAGAGAAATGGATAGGCTTTCAGACTGAGAAAACGACATGCGAGAGCATTAACACCAGACCTGCCCTTTCTAGTCAAGAACACCCCAGGTGAAACTTGGCTTCAAGAATAATGACTAGTCTCAGACAACTGTGTCATTTGCCCTGATATGTATACTTCTTAAGGAAATTTTTGCGCCATAAGATGGTGAAGGTGAAGCCTATATTTGACTCACCTAGTCACATCACATGTAACAGGACCTACTATCTCTCTAGTAGATGTTCATAGTTCCATTACAGAGAGGGTCGCGGGTGTGGGCACGGGGTCGTCACGGCCTGGTGGTGGTGATCGACTCGTGAGAGAGAAGGAAGCAACAGCGTGAGGTTTTTAAAGTCAGAAAAAAAACAAAAGGACCCGCCCAGGCGCCCAGGAGCCCAGGCCCGCCTAGCCACCGCCTAGACCCGCCTAGACCCGCCTAGCCACCGCCTGGACCCGCCTAGACCCGCCTAGGCGCCGCCTAGGCCCATTTTTCGAATCTAAAGCAAAAGAAAAGAAGTCATAGCTATTTGAATGTCCCAAGCAGCGTTTTCAAAGGCATGCCTTCGCGCGAGTCGGAGCGAGGCGGCAAGGAATCGCCTGAGGCCGTCGGCTGTTTCCCGAGTTGCACGTTTAGAGCGGGGAAGGCGTGAGTAGGCGTTGCAAGGCGTAGCCAGGCGGCGCGAGGTGGAGCAAGGCGGAGCAAGGAATCGCCAGATCTGGAACCTTCTGAACCGGAAGAGATTTTGCGAGTCTGCAACTTGGCTGTGAGGAAGACGACTGAGGAAGACGATTGCGTGGTTTTTTTTTCAGGGATAATGAAACGACGTCGTTTCAGTTTTAGAGTTTAAAACTTTAACTGAAACGACGTCGTTTCACTTGAAATGTTTTGTAAAAAAAATACCGCAAGTCTGTTTTATTATTATTTTTTTCCTTACCTTTATTCTAATAAACTTAAGGTAAGAAGATATTAAAATCTTTCTTGCCATTTCTAACTCCAGCCGGCTGTAGCTTTATTCTTCTTACTTTTTTTATTTTTATAAATTAATATATTAACACATAGACTTATATATATATAGTACAACCCTATATATATATAGTGAAAGTTACAATTAGTGTTTAATTCATTACCATTAAATTTTATAATTTTAATTTATTGTTTCATATGTACAGGTAAGAGGAAAGTCAAAAGCAAGGCCATAAGAACGATGCTTATGGATGAAGATGATGAGATAGATAAAGATCCTTCAACATTTGATAATGGGAAATATCCTTTTCAGATTGATACAGTTGATCAATATGATAGTGATGCTAGTTTGAATGATATTCGTGTTGAGGAGTGGGATGAGTGAATTATGTTTTTGTTTTGATGTTGAATAAATATTTTATGTTTTGGGATTGATTATTATGCTTTGAATGAAAATTAGTACTTATATTTGATTATATTTAAAAGATTGTTATGGTTCAATAAGAATTAGTTGTACAATTTAATTGTATTGTATTATTCATAAATTTTTCTTATTAAAATAAATTAATGTTTAAAAGGCTTATGCCTCACTGCTTCAAGGCTTACGCCTCCCATAACGCGACTAAAACGCCTCAGACTACTGTTCTGCTTGCATCTAAACATGCACAGGCCAAACCAAACTAGGTCTTATGAAAATTTGATATTGATTTCAAACAGGGGAAAGGGATTGGATAGAGTGTATGTGACATGTATAAGCCTCTGGTAGTACTTTCTTTAGGAAATTATATTGAGCACGAAATTCTTTGTTGCCCTAAGATAATTGTATGAATATATATTTCCAGTATGGAGTTTGTGATGCAATTGGAGTTCTCTCACAAACTAGCCATAATAATTTGCACGTTTTCTGATGGTTAAACAAATAGGATTGTCCTTGCTTGCTATTTCTTTTATCACCTACTGACCTCTATTTCTGTTTACTGTCTTATGTTGTCAGATTGAGATAACGAAGTTACATGAATTCGCTCAGGCTGCTTTTCGTGGATACAAGTCTTTGAACCGTATACAGAGCCACATATTTCATACTGTTTATTACACTAATGAAAATATACTAGTAAGTTATTGATTCTGTTGATGACGTGAATACCAAACCATTGCAGTGAAAGTGCTGATATGATATGCTTGAATGTGATGTGATTTTCATTTACTTGCAGGTTTGTGCTCCAACAGGAGCTGGCAAAACAAACATAGCTATGATTTCTATTCTACATGAGGTATTCACATTTTTGGTAATCATTCTTTTTCTCTTACTACTTTGGCTTGATCTCAAATTCACACATTTGTTTTTGTATTGTGTAAGAGTTAATCTGGGTTAATTGCATAGTTAAAATGGCATGGGAATGGCTGTAATGTCATATGAGCTGGTATTGTATATATTTTTCTGGGAGGGTTAGTGTGTTAAAGATATCAGCTTGCAAAATAAAGCAAGAAAACTAAGCTTTTGGCTGCCTTAGTTATTCGAGTCCTTTTATGTCATGGTGATGTACTCATAGTACTTTTCATGTTGAATTCAACCTATTTAGGTTTTTTAAAAAAATTGGAAAACCCGTGTATAGCCGCCCGGCTCTACGATTTGAAAATAAATAATAAAAAAACCCAGGATCGCCGCGCGGCTATACTATTTCTTTTTTTTTTTTAAACCGAGGGCTATACTATATGTTTTTATAAAAAAAAAATTGGAAAAACTGAGTATAGCCGGACAGATATACTATTTAGTTTTATTCGGCAAATTACAACTTAAAAAGAGGATCAATTATCTGATTTTTCTTTAAATTTTAAATTTTTTAAATATGAAAAATATGAATTTACCATATTATCCTCATTTAATTAACAATTTTAATTCTTAATGTTTGCATTAACTAAGGACATTTTCTGGTATTTTGAATGTTTCATCATTCTCTGCCTTTTGCTTTATATATACTAGCCTCTCTGCACGCGCTTCTGCGCCTGCGAGAGGGTTTTTTTTTATTTTATAAATATTTAAATTTATTTTAGAATTAAAAAAGATAATGGGTAGTTGTGTTCCATAAAAATAGAATCTATTATCTGATTTTTCTTTTAATTTTATTTATTTTTAAATGAAAACTGTGAATTTACCATATTATCTTCATTTAATTAATAATTTCAATTCTTAATGTTTGCATTAACCAATGGCATTTTCTGGTATTTTGAATGTTTCACCATTCTATGCTTTTTGCTTTATATATATAGATTCAATAATATGTGTATAATACGTGAATTTTATTTTATTATTGAAAATTTTGTATAAAATACTTGTAGTAGACATGAAGGATACATACGGCTATACTATTTCTTAAAGAGAATAGTCGCTTGGCTATAATATTTTTTATTTAGTATCGCCGCGCGGCTACACTATTTCTTTCTAAAAAATTAGGAAAAACGTCTTTAAAAAAAAAAAAATTCGGGTATAGCCGGACGGCTATACTATTTATTTTTTAAAAAATTCTAAAAACCGCTTATAGCCGAACGGCTATACTATTGGAAAACCCGAGTATAGCCGCTCGGCTATTCCGGTTTTTATTATTTAAAAACCGAGTATAGCCAGACGGATATACTAATTTTGTTTTAAAAAGGAAAACCGAGTATAGCCGCCCGGCCAGACTATATCTTTTACAAAAAAAATAAAAACCGACTATAGCCGAACGGCTATACCATTCCTTAAAAAAAAAAATTATATACAAATACCCTCCTATTTGCATTAGTTTATACGTATGTGTAAAATTTCGGCAAATTACAATTTACCAACAGAAAAATGTTGTAGAAAGAAAAGAAACCAAATGAAAGCAGTTGAGAGCATAGTCTAAAATATCGAAAATATTGACGAAATATCGAGGATATTATCGTTTTTTCAGGTCACGGATATTTTGAAACGTATCCATACACATATCATATAAATATCAATAATATCAATGATAATTTTGCTCACTCTTCAGGAATATTTTGTCAAAATATCGCTATAATATCAAAAATATCGATGCAATGGTAAAAAGGAAAAAACAACACACAAAGTGCACATGCAAAGGGGATTCGAACCCCTGCCATTTCACTCCTCCAACGCCTTAACAACCATGTCGCTTATGTTTTTGTGATAATACGCAAAGGAGAACTCTATGTGGGATCTTACCATGCAATGTATAAAGTGTAAAATATTGTAGTAAATCATTATATATAAATGATTATGGTGTGTTTAATCTTCTTTCATTAATTACTACATATTTTCTATACTTACAGTGTTTGTTAGCTCGCTATATAATCAACTTTAATAAGTTAAACTTATCATGCAATGCATTTCCTTCCTTTTTTTTTTTGGGGTGATAAACTAATAGATATAATTGACTAAATAAACATCCTCCAAAGTTTCAATAAAAATTTCCAAGTTTTTCTTACAATTTCCGTGGTTTTTATTCAATTTTTATCGATATCGATAATATCCTGATGTTTTCATCAAAATTTCCATATTTTTGGACTACCGATATTTCCGATACCATCGATATTTTAGACCTTGGTCGAGAAGAAGGAAGGGAGTTTCACTAAAACACCCAAAATGGGGGCTGAAATTATAAAAAAAACCCAACACCCAAAACACTTTATAAACACACCCAAAACCCATCATTACACACACTCAAAACCTATTTATAAACACACCCAAAAAATATACAATTATTGATTATGGGGTTGATTTTGGGTGTGTTTCTATGTTTAAATAGTGTTTGGATTTTTTTATAAATACATGTCTAGGATTGAGTTTATTTATAAATATCTAAAGAAGGAAAACATAAACGTGGGGAGAGATAAATTGTTGTGAGGGACCCAAGTGAAAGAGAGGAAATATGTGAGAGAATGAGCCACCTTGGAATTGTGTTGTGTTGTATATATATATATATATATTGCCAACATTAGGTCCACCAAAAGTAAAAAAAACACGGAAATAACTATTAAAAACTAAAAGAGTAAGTAAAGTGTTTAGTCTTTTTTATTTC